ATTAAAAAAATCCACGTCATGATAACATGATTGGAACAAGCGTTAACATTTATATTTTAATTGATAAATTCAATTTTCAAATTTTGATAATACATAATTTTAATGTTTTTATATATTTAAATTTAATATTTAATAATAATTTTTTACCAAAAAAGTTTTATAAAATGGCTAAATTTATATAGCATGTAATTCTATTTTTTTTATATCTAATATTTCACAATATTTTTTTACTGTTACAAAATTGATAAATAACTAAATTAAATTTGTAAAGTTTAAATATCAATTAATTAATTTTTTAAATAAAAGATCAAAATTAAGTTTCTAAAGAAAAAAATGTATTTAATGCATTTGTTTAGAAAATAATATTGAGAAGTGGTAAATGTTGAACTATTCATCAAATTAAAACACCAAAAGAAAACCCATAAACTTCAACAGAAGCAATGTAGAGTTCTTTCCATCCACAAATAGTTTGTGGTGAGAAATACAAAAGCGTGGATATTATGCAATGGAATCATGAATAACGATATTTAGATTTCTAATTTCAAAGATCAAAATTTCAATCCTCACACAAAACTCCAACAGCAATCTTGTCTTTGTGGGGGATGTGACATTTTTTTTTTTTGGTGCGTCAAGAAATAGACCTTTCACCATTCATGTTTGTTCTAAAAGTCCATGGCTAATCCAAGCCACGCAAATGAAACGAACAAGAAAAGACGTTAACTCTCTAAAAGAAAAAGAAAAATGGATTAGGTTAAAGTGAATGATAACTTATTTTACTTTTTCAGGTTCACAAATGAAACATAATTAACTAAATATCTTCGATGGTGCAAGTTAAAAGAGATGAGTTTGACGCGTAAAAAAAACTTCTACAAAATAAGTTATTGTTTAAGAGAAAAAAAAATAAGATAATGAAAAATAATACTTCAATTATAGATCAAATCAAAATAGTTGAATGATAAATAATAATAAAAAATGAGTGGACATAAAGAAAATTGGTATAATGTAGAAAATTATGATCACATGATTGTATTTGAGAAAAAAAAATCTACTAATTTATAACTTATTTGATGAACTATATATTTTACCTACAAAATTTGTTTAATGTAACAAGTCTCATATTGAGGAGGTCTCGTTATTAGAGAGGTCTTATAAGGTAGAAGGTTCTTCAACCTCTCTTTCAGCTAGCTTTTGAGGGATGGTTCCCCTCCTTAACCTTATGATTGTTATATTGATGTTTTTATTAAGAATCTTCTAACTCGAGAAGAGCTACTCACGTGAAGTGCAACCCGTTTTATTGAGAGTCGACTAACTCGAAAAGACTCATCGAACTTGTTTTTATTACTTATAGCCTCATTTAATATTAGACTATTTATTCTATAAAAGAGTTACACAAAAATCTCTTTTCATGTAACCACGTTTATTTTAATTAGAGTTTTGTTTATTTTATTTTTAAACGAAATATTTTATCTTCTAAAAACAATTTTAACTGTTTAAAATTAACTAAAGACAAATCCAAAACTATAAATACATACATATATTTTTTTTATATAAAATAAAAGATTATATAAAAAGTGTATACGCACATTTTTCATATAATTTTGTACTTATCAACTATATTATCAGATAATGTTAAAAAAAATAGTTTATTAACTTTCAACTAACAAATTTTTCCTAAATATCTATATTTCAAAATTTAACTATAAACTAATATATCATTTGTTATTTTTCAAAATACAGTTTTTTTTAATGTGTTTATTTAGACGGAGAAGAAAGAAAAAAAAGAGAGAGAGAGAGGAGTATTTCTAATTTTAATTTGTTTAAGAAAACAGAGTGGAAGAAGAGAATTAAGAATCTAAGAATTGTTTACTTAAGTTTTTTATTTACTATTTCACTTTTTAATTATTAACATATCACAATTTTGTTTTTAGTTTTCATATATGAACATATATATTGTTTTATCCATTTCTAGGAAATATTTGCAAAAACAAATGAAAAATAATGCAACATTTTTGCAGTTAAAATTAAAAAAAAGAGAATATAACACAAATAATCAGTCCAAAAGTATCCTCTTTCCATCTTTTGACTTTCTTATAATAAGGAAAACATTTGGAGGAAAGGAAATCTTATTTATAATTTGTAGACTATGTAAACCAATTTTTAATGAAAAATTATTAATGTGTATGAGAGTATAAATTATATTGATGTAAAAAAAATAACAATAATATTTTGTTCATATATTTTCTTTACTCTCCTTGTAAATAAATTAAAAAAAGGTGAATTTTCCCTCTTCTTTCTCTCTTTGTTTTCAATCATTTCAAATAAAAAAGACATTGTGTTTGAAAATTGAATTTTGATCCAGCAAAAGAAGATGAATAGTGAGAAAATCCTGCTTTAGATTACATGGGCCACATTTTTTTTTTTCCTGTGGAAGTTATTGGGTTTGCCTCAATTGGCCCACCATTAAAATCCAGTGGACAAAACAAGAACATCATCACATCACCACCACACAACATATTGTAAACTGCGTAAAGCTTGCTCTTTTCATCCACCAATCTCCACCACTTACTTCTCTTTCGCTCTTCCATTCGGTACCGCCACAAATTATTAGACCATGGTCTTAAATAAATGTACATATCTATAAAAAACACTTTTTTAAATTAGGGTTTTATTTTATGTATAAATTCTAGTGATTTTCTGCAATTAAAATTATTCAAATTAAGTTTTTTTTCTTCTGGGTGTTATATAAATTAATGAAAGTTAACATCTGAGTCCTCATATATTTCATGTTCCAGGAATTGCAGAAAATCTTTCATTCTTGTCCACTTGAAGCACTGTTCTTACTCCACAACCAATCATTGGTAAGAATGATGTGAAATGAAGAGTGAGTTAGTAACCCAACCAAATAATCTTCAGTAAGTTTATTGGTGTGAGAGAGCAAAATCAAGGATGGAGTGAAGATAAACATAAGAAACAACATGTAATAGCGTGTCCTAGAAAGAGACTCTCACGTCGTAACGTGTCTCTCGGGGTAGAATTTGATAACAAAATGTCGAAAGGGTTTTTTCAGCGAGTGAGGAATTTGAGGAAGTGGGTCCCACGTGCATGTCCTTCGATGTTTTTTATGAGGTCTTGGTTGCGCGGGACAGAGTTGTGGTGACAAGGATTTGATAACGATGTGGGACTTGGTCTGTGTTCTCTTCTTCTCTGATCTGATGTTCTTTGCTTTTTGGTTCCGTGGTGGCATTGCTTGCTGCCATTGTTGCTGTGTTGGAGGTCTCCATCAAACGTAAAATGATAGTAAAGTTAAATTATTTTAAATAAGTCCCATTTAAATATATATATATATATATATATATATATATATATATATATATATATCTTAACTTCATATTCGTTATTAATATTCTTACAAAATGATGTCCTTTTCCCATTGCTTAGTAGATTTTTATCTTACGTGAATTTAAAATAATGTTATTTTTAATGAAGAAAATAATATTCATTGTAAAATACTATTATTTTAAACTAAAGCGTCGTCTTCTTATGTGAGCTAGATTTAAGATCTTTGAAATTAATTTACTTCTATAGTTGAAATAGTTTCTGGTGTAAAAGTTTTGCTAGCCCTTAATTTATTAATGTTTCTCATGAACTAAGTTTATTGACATGTTTAAGAATAAGCATTTTGACTTAAAGTCTTAACATAAAATGAAACTGTTTTAGTAAGTTAGGCTTCGACTATGGAATTATAAAGTAAGACGTATTAGGTTTAGAAGACTTATTAGGTTTACAAGACCTGTCTTGGACTATAAAAATGATGTTTATTAAATTCGTCCACTATAACATGTGAAATGTTACTTTGAATATTATGAACCTCCAAGATCTAATCTTATATCATATTCTCATTTTTTAGTTGGAATGACAAGACAATTATACTTTATCATTTATTATTATTAATATTAAGGTTTGAATAAATAAGTACTTGACTACAAATTAAACGACGTAAAATACTCTTCCTTTTTGCATGAAAGGTATCAACTCACATGAAGAAAATTTGCTAATAAGCCAATATGAACTTTCTAAAATGAAAAACAATAATAAAGTCTAGTTTCGAAGTTTCCGAATAACCTTGAATGGTTTATGAAATAACTTTTTTTTTAATAATTAATCTTTTTAATAATATTTTATTTTAAAAGGGATTATTATTTCGACAATTTTTTTTTCTATTCTCAAACGATCGATCGTTTTCATTCTGAAAATTAACAGTTATTCGTTTGATAAAATTTGGCTTAGGCAATGGGAAAAATAAGGCCCATAGTAAATAAATAAAATAGGAAATTTTCCTATAAAAAAATATAATATAATAAAATGAATGATTAATATATGATTAAAAGAATATACCTTATATTTTTTACCATTTAAAAATAGTACCAAGCAGTGTGGATTTTTATCATTAATCTTAAAAAAATCAAATAACATATTATTAATAACTAATAAATAAATATAAAGTTAAATGATCAAATTTATAAATATATAATAAAATATATATTTAATAATTATTAACCAAAATATAAGTGACAAAATTTTGAGAAATATAATCCCTCCCTTCCCAAGAATATATATAATATAATAATTGATATTATTTGTAATTATTTTGATATAATAAAAATATTATGTTTATTATCTATATATATTTTTTATGATAGATGAAGAAATTATTGTTGTTTAAAAAATATTAGTGTATTAAAAAGATTAGTGTAATGTCAACATTAAAATAGGTGGAGTTATTTATCAGCAATTCAAAAAGTGTCAGAAAATATTACTGTACTCAGTAATTTATTTAAAAAAGCAAACCTGCTTGATTTTTTGTGTTGTTCTCATTTCTCAACGCACTGAAGAAGGACCTTTCTCTCCTCTTCCTTTCTTCTGCATCACCACTGAGAAAAGAACGAAGGAACAAACGCGCATCTAGGTCTCCAATGTGAAGTCAGCGATACCAACCAAACATGGCTCCAATCGCTGCAAGGATTCTCGGTTCCATGTCGCGAAGTGCGCTTGCGCTCCCTCGCCGCTGGCTCCGCTCCTCCTTCTCCTCCGCCTCCGCAGCGGTGGCGGAAGCGGAGAGCACGGAGATGAAGGACTACGCCGATTACCGGCGCTCACTGTACGGACAGATCACGCACAAGGCTCTCCTCGTTGACGCGGTTGGCACGCTCGTTCTTCCTTCGCAACCCATGGCTCAGGTACGTCACGTGCTTCGATGTGCGCGCCACGTGAAACTGAAATTGAAAGGGATTTTTTATTTATTTATTTAACGTGAAACTGATTACATTGTTTCGACGGCGTCGTTTGTGTGTTTTTGGTAGATATATAGGAAGATTGGTGAAAAGTATGGAGTTGAGTATTCGGAGGATGAAATACTGTTCAGATACAGAAGAGCGTATGGCCAGCCTTGGGGTAAATCTCGACTCAGGTTAGCTTCTTGGTTTTACTTTTACTTTTTAATTAGAATAGTTAGATTTTCATATATGGTTATGACTTTGGCTGAAATAGAAAGTTTAAAAAGTTTCGCATTAATTGATTTTGCGAGAAATTGCAGAGAAATATGACCGCAGCTGTGCTTGTGATGTGATTGCGGAGTACAATTTTTATAAAAATCTTGATATTGTTATTGGTTCTTGCTTTTGTGAGTAGGTGTTTATTAATTATCATGAATGACTTTCATGGGATTGAAAATTTCCTAGTTTGGATCTTTTTCTATATCTACCTTAAAATTGAAAAAGAAAAAGAGTTGTCAATGAACTCGTGACAGCTGATTTTGCCTAGTGGACTGGATTTCTTAATGAGGTCCGTTGTGTGAATAAGTGGTTCATTTACTCACTGATTTGTCTAATGAGTAACTGTACTATTCCAGAGGCTACTAGTAAAAAACTCAAGACAACATTATATTAAAATTACTTCAGCGTGGACTTTGTTGTCTTTTAATATTAATATTTTTATGTTGTTGATATTTTAGATGATTGGACTTGTAATGTATGTCTGATCAGTTTGAAAGTCTTAGCCAAGCATCGATCATTTACGTATAAACGTTGCCAAGGGGATTTACATTACTTTTGAGTCGAATGACAAGAACAGGTTTTTTGATAGCATCATAGCTTGTTTGTTCGTCACAAATAGCTTGTAGTGAATGATCTGTCTTAGTTTCCTACTTCGTGATATGGTGTAAGCATTTTAATTAGTGAAAAATTCTTTAGCATACTTACATATGAGCCATATTATCAAGCTCCAATTTCTGGGTGCAGATTTATGATTTAGCTAAACAAGCATCATGTGGTTTACATGCAGCTTTAAAAATCCATGCTCATGTGCCTTTCAACTTTAAAGTTACTGTTTCCGTGTATACATTCTTTGACATTTCTCTCTTAAAATGCTTGAATATTATGCCGCCAGCCTTTAGGTCAGGATACTCTGTTTTGTGGAAATAAATTTTGGAATAAATGACATGCTTCTCCTCCCTTTCTGTGCCTTTGTGTCAAACAACAACCAAAGCCTTATCCCTGCTAGGTTTTATGTTGGTCGTGTGACTAGATAAAGAAAAAATAATCTCTTACACATAATTGTAGAGACACTTTACTGCTTTCCGTATTTAGTATAATTAAGGTTCCTTGTTTTTCTTTTATAATGCAGATATGTTAATGATGGCAAGCCCTTCTGGCAATACATAGTTAGTTATTCTACCGGCTGTTCAGATCCTCAATACTTTGAAGAACTTTATAACTATTATATGACAGACAAGGTAAGACCACTTATAATTACCATTTTCTAAAATGTATTATACATTTTTTAATAATTTGGGTATTTTTTTATTCTTTTGTTCTCTATCATCCATACAGGCATGGCACCTCAATGATCCTGGTGCAGAAGAAGTATTTAGAGTTCTTAGAAAATCAGGTGTGAAATTAGCTGTTGTGTCAAATTTTGACACTAGATTAAGACCTCTCCTGCGGGCATTAAATTGTGACAATTGGTTTGATGCGGTAGCAGTGTCAGCCGAGGTAAGCTAATTATTCTTTTCTTTCTTACCCTTTTGTTTTAACAGTTTGTGTTGCTACAGGTTATAATCTCTTTCTACCGGTCTCATTCATCGATGCATGCAATTAACAGTATGTCATTCACAATGGAGATGCATCATGAATATAAGAAAGCTTAGAAGGGAAATATTGAAATAAACCTTAATCATTCATTGTCTCGTTGAGTCACTGATAAAATTTCACATCAACTAAAGATGTAATAAAATTATAGTATATAGGTGAAGTATGTACCTCACCATACAAGTCGTTTGTAGGGATGGGTTAGAATCTTTCTATTTTTAATGTAATATTAGAGTTAACTCTAACTATGTTAAGATATTATCTGAAAATGTTTGTTGGAAAACATGTAATAAAAATAAAAACAAAAAGAAAAAAAATCAAAGATATTCTAGTATAACTCAAAGCATATCATCTGTAAAGATAATATGGTAGTGTGTTTTATCTCTAGCCGTAAGCTTACCCAATGCGACTCTGAAAATGACATTGGAGGACGAACCAGCTAAACATGATTCTGGGCTTAAGAATCATGTTGCAGAGCTTTTCACCATTGAGCCTTACATTACAAACTAACTTTTGAAACAATGAACGTACAAACCTTCGAAACAATGAGCTTATGCCATTACATTACCTTTTTAACTGTGGAGATGATATCAAGTTGAGTAAATTTGATGAAGAATCAAATGGAAATTTGATAGCTAAAATTTACTAATAATTATAAATGCTTTAGCACTAACTATTTTTTTATGGCATGTATTATTGTTGCCTATATCAACTTTCAGGAATTAGCAATTATGTTTTCGGATCCTGTAGTCTTAAAAATATTTTAGATGGCCAATATCTTGTATCTCAAATACATTTGAGCATCCTTGCATTGCATTGGCATACTGGTTATATTTGTCAGGAGGTTTCGTAATTATACAATTTTTCTTTACTTCATGATAATTGGTTTATAAACTTCTCTCATTTAAACCTGTTTGTGGATGGTTGCTTGTGCCTTTCAATTAGGTTGCGGCCGAGAAACCAAATCCAACTATATTTCTCAAAGCATGTGAGCTGTTGGATGTAAAACCTGAGGATGCTGTTCATGTTGGGGATGATCGCAGAAATGATATATGGGGTGCCAGGGATGCAGGCTGTGATGCTTGGCTTTGGGGAAGCGATGTTCACTCCTTTAAGGAGGTATTTAAAATCTTCATATCTCTTTAATACTGCACCGAAATTTCACTGTAGAGTATAATTAAGGTGATTATAAGGAGGCGAGAATACTATATGCAGTTTGCTCCTTGCCCTTAGATCCCAAATTCCGGGTTGAGAAATCTGGAGAAAAAAGTGACACAGTCTCTTTGTTTTTTCTGTTTCCCCTCTTATGCTATGCCGTATTGGTACTCTTCTATATATATCTAGCAAAATAAAATAAGGAATATAGAAGGAAATAATCAACACTGACAGGTTTTATTAACGAAGAATATATTCGGAAATATTTATCTTAAAGAGCTTCTAGGAGAGATAAATAAGATTAATTTCTCCAAAAAAATAAAAAATATTTTTCGCATATAAGTTTAAAATCTAGTTTTAGAGAAGTTAGGTAAGAATTTTTCACAAATTAATTTATGCATATGCTAATTTTAATTTATACACAAGTTAATTTTAGTTTATAAAGAAACTTAACTCATTTTTTTTATTTCTTTCTCATTAAGTGTTTAAAATGAAGTTTGTCCAAATATACATTATCGAACATTGATACATTGTTTAAATGTATATTCTGACATTTTTATCCTATTACCGTTATTATTACTTCTTGTTACATTTTTTATTTTTTAAATGACTTTATTTTATTGATGCAGGTAGCACAGAGGATTGGGGTTGAGGTCTGAAAGATGATCCATGTTTACAATAAGTATGATGTTATGCATGCAGAGAATCCTTTAGGCTTTAGCTTTTAAGGTCGCACAATGTAAATTTGTATGTATATGTATGAAAGAGATTTGAACCTTTGAAAAGCAACCATTAATAGAAGTGTAGGTTTAGGTAGGAGCTTATATCTTTCTAAAAGCTTATTCTAAAATTATAAAGAAAATAAATAAATAATAAAAAAGAATAATGGAATAAATCGAAGAAAGACATGTTGACAGGAACGTGGGAATAACCTAATAGTTGAGACGTTGGTTAAACGACGCATAATGTTACTAACTACAGAACTGCTTTATCTAGAAGTAGAATTATAGAAAAGTTAGTAGTTTAATTATTTATGATGATGTGATGAAACTCAGATTTAATACAACTGTACTGTGTCTTGCATCATCATATCTAATTTTTAAATTCCCAGGCTTAATTAATAGACCCGTGCAAACCATGGGCAAGGAAGTTTAAGGCTTGTGCATAGCATGCTTTGCCACGTGCAACTCAAACAAAACAATTAGGTTTTGTTACCAAACAACTCCAGCTCATAACTCGGACTAATTTTTATGTTACACATATTTAAATTTCTATGAAAAAAATCATATAAAAAATTAGTTGGATCATGACAATCCCAGAATACCAAATATTATTTCATAATTTAATACCATGATATATTATAAAATGACATTCAAATATGTAGTTAATTGAAAAGATTTTTATTTTTTGTCTTGAAAATTGTAGTGTTTCTTTTTTGTGACTAATAAGGCTGATTTTGATGGCACATCTCTTTAACACAATTGAGACATTATGAACAGGAAATGAACATATGTTAAATATACTAACGTTTATTTTATAGAGATTTAAAATGCTTTATACTGGTTGTAGTACGCTATATATTATATTGAGATATGATCTGGTGTTACCAATTCAGAGTTATTTTTTTCATTACTCTCGGTAAAATTGTAATACTAAATAATGAAGCCTATAAGTTGTTTACTTTCTCTCTCTAAAGCGTTCTTTTGTTGCAAGTAAGAGCCAGTGAATATACTGTGGTGGCTTATCAGAGTCTATTCAAAAGATACCCTATTCTTTCTCAGTACCACTCACACCCACAACCAATTTGATTCCTTAGAGATAAGGAAATTAACATTAAAGATATGGTTAGTTATGTATAATCAATAGATCACTGCAACTTTTTCTTAACCATCACAATCTTCTTTTTGTGAGAGGAACTAAAATACATATCCGTTTATTCATGTTTAAAAAAAAACATTTAATCCTAAAGAACTGAAGATTTAGTTTTTATACATACAAATCTGTCTCCTCTAAAAATAATAATAACTAGTGTAAAAACAAAATATGAGAAATTAATTAAGATAAATGAGATTCACATCCTTGAAGATGCTAAAATTTTTGAAGTTTATTAGTCTTTCTTTATTACCAAGATTTAAAAAATTCTCTCAAAGATGATAGAGAAGAAAAAAGAAGAAGATGAAATTTAAACTGCCAAAGTGTAAAATCATATATTTAGCTCTTATAGTATTATTTTTTTTGGTTAATTTTTTTTATTATGATATAAGTTCTGTTAATCTTGATTTATTTTTTTTACCATTTATAAAATTTAATCATATTCTTTATATATATATATATATATATATATATATTTAAAAAATTATATTAACGTATCCCAAATTTTTTAAAAAGTCCGAATTTCATACGGTATCGGTTCCTATCCATGCAACATGTTTGGTAGCATTTAATCCGACATATTTTTTATAAAACATTGTTAATACTTTTAATAATAATTTTAATTCTGTGAAACTTATATGTTGACAGCATATCACAGAGAATATACCACACATTCATTATTATGATGGACGAAAAAAAAAAGAAGAAGGAAAAAAACAGATGCCACATAGACAAACAAAGAACTAATGAAATGCAGTGTGATAGGGTTTTCAACCACGCTCTACCACCCTCTCACCCTCTCCGCCACATAGACAAACACATAGATGCCACATTTCAAACACGCGTTTGCATGTGTTCCTATAAACTATGAACTCAGAGAATTATTTTATGATGATGTGTAGTGACCCTTATTCAGTTTTTTAATATCTCCCTCTTACTTCATCATGAACTTACATTTAAGTAATCCAAGTGATGAGGAGAAAACAATAATATTTTACTCATTTTTTACCAGCTAATTATTGTTTATTCAATTATATTAGCATGTATGATTACGTCAAGGATATTGACTGGTGCATATATATATTCACAAGTCGAGATCATCACCCCCAACAAATCATCTTTAATCACCATGGTTGCATTGTTCTCTCCTCCTGTGTTATCGACCAAGGGGTGGCTCTTAGAGGAAGAGCCATTAGGGTATGATAATAACCAGAACTGCTTCTACAAAGATGATGTGTCCTCGGAGTACTCCTTTCCCTATCAGTTTTATTCACCACAGGCACATATTGAGGTTGAAATAGAAAGGTCCTCTGCACCATCCCCTGACCCTGTCATGGTCAAGAAACTTAGCCACAATGCTAGTGAACGTGATCGCCGCAAGAAGGTCAACAACTTGGTTTCTTCACTTCGGTCTCTTCTTCCAGTGGCAGATCAAACTGTACTTTCTATCCCTTGCCTTTCAGTCAAATTTGAAGTTTCACAATAACCTTTTAATTTCTTATATGATATAGAATATGAAAACAAAAGTTCTGTTTTGATTAAATCACAAAACCAAAAATATCTTTGGCACTGCATCTGTATTCTGTCTGTACTGGAAATTGGTAGGCATATACTAATCTTTGGTAGGAACCAATTTTAAGAAAGCTTCCATGAGGGTTTCTAAGATTTATTTGTCAACTGGGATGTGCTCCTTAGGTTCTCTTTATTTTATAGTACAAAATATGCAGCTGCTTCTAATTTCTATGCATGTAGGCTTATATTGGATCATATTCAAATTAACTTTACTGATAAAAATATTTCTTACTAATTTGTGCACATAGAAGATAATTTTCTTATTTGTTATTTGAAACTTTCATCAAATAAGAACTTTTTCCGCGTATGTAACTATGTGAATCCTATCAATTTCTATGTGAAAATTTACCGAGAATACATGGTCGTCCATGATGCAGTAATTTAATTTCTAATAAAACTACTTTGAATGATACCGTCAGGTCTATTATTCTTTGTGGAGAAAAACACGTAGTTATTCATCTTTTGTTTTATTTTAATTTATATTTTATGATTATTGTGATAATATAAAATGTTACATTGATTATCTTTATTTTATGAGTTTAAGAAAAGTAACGAAATAAATGAAAAATAACAAAGACAACCATCACAATATAATATGTGGAAGACAAGAATTACATCAGTATTATAATATAAACAAATTAATAGATATGTATAAAATCACAAAAACCAACAAATCATAACAAAAGCTAACGAAACTTCCCCTAAATTGTAATGTAAACCAACAGAGATCTAACAATTCAATGTTAATGTGGTTGCAGAAAAAAATGAGCATTCCGGCAACTGTTTCTAAAGTCTTGAAATACATACCAGAGCTGCAACAGCAAGTGCAAGCACTAACAAGGAGAAAAGAGGAGCTTCTGGGCAGAATTTCTCAGCAATTGCAAGGCGATGCAGTGAACAAAGAATCTCAGAGGAACATTTCTCATCACAACTCTTCTTTTGTTGTCTCAACAAGTAGGCTCAACGATTGTGAAGCTGTAGTTCACATTTCCTCTCATGAGACTCACAAGGCTCCACTATCCGAGATCTTGCACTGTTTAGAAAATAATGGCCTTTTTTTGCTAGATGCTTCATCCTCAGAAACCTTTGGAGGAAGGGTTTTCTACAATTTGCATTTTCAGGTATCTTTCATTGTATTTCATTCATGATTATTTTACAAGTTCAAAGATAACATTAATAATTAGGTTTTTAATTATATCCTACTTTCATTCCTATCAAGTAGTAAGACAGAAAAAGGACATTTAACAAAAGGACAATGCTAATGCTAATTAATGTCCTATGTCATTGGTTTACGATTAAAAATGCACCAAAAAAGTTGTAAGAAAACATAATATTTAATGTTGAACTTTATAATTTTGAAAACTAATAATGAAGTTGTACTGGTGTTTCTGCAGGTGGAAAAAACTCAGAGATTAGAGTCCCAGATTCTAACTGAGAAGCTTTTACCAATATATGAGAAGCAAAGCATTTTATAATGAAACACAAGTTGGGTCTAATTTTGTGATGATCAAACAATGTTACCAAGTTCTCTGATATTAAATTGGACACCTAAAACAGTCTGCACATATTTGGCATGAATGGATTTCAAGTTCAGAAGGGAGAAAGGTGCAGAATTGATTTTAGAATTTAGTGTATGTTGTGTAAATATAAATGTTACAAAGCAAAGTGCTATTTGTCTCTTCCCTTTTATAACAAAGAGAAGTATATATGCATATATATGGTTTTGGATTCAATTTTGAGTTTTTCATATTTCAATTTATGCCATCTTCTTATTATGTAGAAAAATTTGAGATACGTTATTGACAGTACAATGCTTTATATGTACAGCTAAATTAAATATAGCCTTCAATATTTGACATCGTCTACAACTTAATAGCCCCTATAATAGAATTTGGGTATTTACTTTCTAAACTGCATTATTTTGTGGGTGATAAATACTGAAAGGTCGGTAAAAATTGATGTTACGAAAAATTATTTTCCTTCTTTTTTGCGCTTTATCAAAGCACAAAATCAAATAATATGTTCTCTTATTAGACATTTTTCTGGACTCTTTTCCCCTTACAGAATTATAAATTACTTTTAATTAAATTAATTACATATATATATCCTTCTAAAATAAACTACTCCCAAGTTCCGTTGGTTTATATAAAAAATATTTATATATGAAAAACATCCTAATAACACTTACAAATAAATAAATAAATAAATAAATATATATATATATATATATATATAAATTCTATAATAATTATGATATGATAGGAAGAAAGATATAGAAAATAAATATTATGAGTAATTTAAAATATCATATATTTATAATGCATGGTTCTTTTATTACATTTTAATCCATAACTAAATATTGTTGAATATTTTTAAATAGGCTAATAACACAACATATAAAAAAAATCTTAATACATTACATTATCATATGAATATTTTTTATTTATAAATTACTTAATTTTTCATTTATAACTAAAGTGAGACTTCAATTCACACATAAATTCTTTAACAATATCCTCTTTATTTATTATTCACTGTCATATTGGTACATCTTTCCCTCGAATATAAGCATTTATTAATTATGAGTACTTAGTAGTAAGCTTACTTGAACCGTCATTCAACACAATGAGACTCATTTGCCTAAAATTCTTATTGAGAAAACTTTCGATACAAGGATTCATAATCTAAGATCTTTTACCTACTCCAAATCGTACTTAATTGAGTTCATCTTCAAGCGAACCATAAGCTTTAATGCACTTTTGAGTATTTTCGATGATGATTATAATAGAGAGATTCTTAACAAATAAGATACGAATTCACCGTATAAGAAAATATAACGTTGTTCTCTCTATCATTTTTTAATTCCTTTTCTTGACTTGGCTAGAAATATTATTTTCAAAAAGTCTATTTCAACTTATTTGATTAAGTTTGCAAAAGGAGTTTGAGTTGACAATCAAAGCTATAGTGATGAGTAACATTATCTAGTATAGAGAAATAATTGATGTTATTATTGAAACATGCGATAAGTCGTTATGATTGAAGAAAATACTGTAAGAACTTGGTTTTGTGCAAGACAACTATCTATTATTTTTGGATAGTTAAAGTGTTATCTATCTTGGTAAGAATATAACTTTTCTTTTACCATAAAAAACATATTGGATTCATTATGCTTTAGATGCTAATTTATTGGAGTTGGAAAAAGTTCATACCAATGACAATGATACTGATATGATAACAATGACATTAATAAGATGGAAGCTTGAAGCTTTTTATAAGATAATTGAATTAATAATCACCTTCACATAATTGTAAGGGAAGATGTCATGAGATTAAACTACAGTTATGTGTTTAAAAAAGTACAAATTTATCAAGTTGAACTGGTGTATTTAACTTAAGTGGACATGATTATTATATTTACTCAAATAGTGTTATTTTCACAACATTAGGAGAGAGTAAGGCAAAAAATTATTTCACATCTTCCCATGTTTATTTTAAAAAATTTCAATCTTACTTCGTTTACTGGTGGATCGGGTTAAAAATTAGATAATATGTGTTATACGTTTTGATAGTTGGGATCGGAAATTGATAATCTAAATTAGGATAAATAAGTTTTTCAAATTTACTTTGAAATCGAGGATTCTTCTTCTTTTGTTTTTCAATTTAAAACTTTATTGTGTTGGGATGTTGAACTGTTGTAAGTACTTATTTGGTAAACTTTCCTTGCATATTTTATTTGATATCAAAGAGCTATTGATTTTGATCGTCTAAAATGATTGTTTTTGCTTATCAAATATTACCCTCACAAGGTTAGGTTTTTATGAAAATATCATCTTGTGAGATATGGTTCTTATCCTTTACCTACACATGGCTTCATTTCAAGAAACATCTCGTCTCTCTTATTCTTTTTATTTTTAATCCTATTCTTATTTTTGAACATTATAGTGGGGTTTCATTTCAATTCATTATCTTAGTATTTATAATTAATTTTTTCATTCGTTAATTTATTGACTACTGGACTCATCTTTTAGTAGATATTGAAAATTTCACCTTATAAAAAAACTAGTCGTTAAATTTTCAATAATAACAATACTCTTTTCCTTCTGAGGCTTGATGATGTAATTCCATAAACTACTCTTCATTTTCATTTCTTTTTATAAACAAATAACACAAATTAAGTCATGTAGTTTTTAAATTTTATATACGACTCTTCTGTTTATAAAGTATACTTTTTTATTAATTAATTATTCACAAAGACTCCTCATCCGAATATTATAGTTTTGTGTTTTCCTCTCAAATTTGATAATTATAATTTATTTAAATTCGAAATAAATATTATTTATTAATAAAATAATATTATTAAAATTTGAGAAACCATTTTAGCTTATTATTATTATTATTATTATTATTATTATTATTTAACTTTCCATGCAATTTAACTATTTAATAAAATCATACTAGACTATGGACCGTACAAATGGTTTGCTCCTCATTTTTTGTGTGTGTTTTTATTAAAAGTCATAAATTTCAGTTTGTCTTACACATTATTTAATGAATATCTCTTTTAAATTTTTATTTTTTAAAAATATTTAATCAATAAAAAGTATTAGAAATGGTTTTTTACTAGCAACACTTATTACAAATCAGAAGTACTAAGAAAACACTCTCTTAATAAAATGTAATTAGAGGTACAAAGAGGGGGTGTATCTTCATCTTAATAATATTTAAAAATTGGTGACAAGTATCCATAACGTTCTAATTAATAATCAAAACTAGGAAAAATTTATTAAAAAGAGAAATTACATCATATCATATCATATTATTTACGTATACTCTTTTAAACATATGCTTTTTTTATAATGGATTAAAATTTATTAAAATAGGAATTTTGAGTTTCATCACTTATTTAATTCATCTCACATTATTTTATGATTTGTATTAAACTTTAGTTAATATAATAATGAATACTATATTAAAAAAATTACTTACACTGTTTATATTGGTAACGTAAACGGTTTCTCCATTGATATCCATTGCAATCAGTTATATAAAAGGTAGAGGTTAATGACGATGAATTCAATTATCGGTTGAGAAAAAGGTAGTGAAAATAATTCTAAAACAATATATAATTATTATATTATTTTTACCTATTTATATTTTTTCAAAATTTCTATGATAAAATAATTCGAATTTTCATTTATTTTTCTTACCTTTCCCCTTTTTTTTTCTTTTTTAATATCCATTCATCTTATCTATCTATTCTCTTCCAAAGAGAACACACAAATCACTAAGGACAGAAGTAGGTACAGAATGTGATAAAAAAAAAAACAGTGAATAAAAATAAATTAAAAATAAAAGTATTTAATTAAAAACTAAATTAAAGGAATATTTTACCGAAAAAACTTTACATATAAATTAATAATGAAATTGTAAACATTTGAGAAGGAATGTTATAGAAATTTCTTTCACCTCCAAAAATAAAGTCGACAAAGACAAAAGCATTCATATAAATGTTATAGAAGGTGACAGAAGAAAAAAAAAAGGCAATGGCATGTGTTGGATAGGATTCTCATGATGCTGACTTTAGCAAAATTTTTGACTCATATTTATTTTTATTTTAGATTTAATTCAACTAATATTTAAGGTATGTGTAATAAAAAAATACCATCAAAGTTTTAATTTAATTTCAAAATTTATAAATTAAAATAAATTATCAGTAAAACTGTTTTATTATTAATATGAAATTGTTAAAAGAAACAGAACGTTTGCAAAAATTATATTAAGGTAAAATTAAGTTAGAACAATTAGAAAGAACACTGTGAACCTATTCTAGAAAATATACCAATTATTTTTTGTAATTTAAACCCATTTAAATTATCTTGGAGTGAGACTTGAGCAATGAGTTGGTTGGTTCATGTTGACATTTGAGTACAAATTGTAGAATAATAATAAAACCTACTTCTTCTACCTCTTGTTTCTGACCTTAGCAAGTGCTTACAGTCACATGTTCACCAAGATGCATTGCATGTCGCACATAAAATGTCTACGTACACCATATCACTCACCTTCATTGATTGCTCTTTTTACTTCTTTTCTTTACAATTTTTTTTTTCCTTGCAACCATGAGTCTTATGTTAAGATTATTTTGTACTACATGACAATAAGGAATCAACCTGTTTTATTATGTTCTACCTCATCTCTAATTTACAGAAAATGAGACAAGATAGAATATGACTGACTGAACAATCATAACACGAGTTATAAAGGATGGACTCAGTCACTCTGTTAATAGTTTTTTTTATATGAAGATTTATATATATATATATATATATATATATATATATATATATATTAAATATATCTTTAATTATATAAATAATTTTTTATTTTTATTTATTAATTAATATTTTTATTAGATAAATTAAAAAAATTATTATATTTATATACCAAAATAACTATTTATAATTATTAATTTAAA